ACAGTTCCGTAAAGGAGCTTTTGGTCGGCATCGGCCGGGTGCTCGGTCAAGGTCCTTGATGGCCTTCTGCAATTCATGGACGCGACCAAGGATCAAATTTGCATCACGATGCCACCTCTCTGCCTCACTCTTGGTCGTCTCAAAGCTGACATCTTTGAGCAAACCCTCACTCGCTTCAGCCTTGCAAAACGTCCAAGCCGAGCTCCTTCAGATCCAGAGATCCCAACAGCACGGTCGTCACAGAGTTCCCCACTTTGCCCTCTACAGAAGGCGCAGCAATCAGTCCCCTCTCCACAGATGCTGTGCCTGCCACGAAATCTGCACATGCAGGTTCACAAAGTGCTGTGCCTGCCACGAAATCTGCACCTCGAAGTTCACAAAGTGCTGTGCCTGCCACGAAATCTGCACATGGAGGTTCACAAAGTGCTGCGCCTGAAACGAAATCTGTACATGGAGGTTCACAAAGTGCTGCGCCTTTTGACATCTGCACATGGAGGTTCACAAAGTGCTGTGCCTGCAACGAAATGTGCACCTCGAGGTTCACAAAGTGCTGTGCCTGCCTGCAGGACATCGGCACATCGAGGTTCACAAAGTGCTGTACCTGCCAGGACATCTGCACAGGGAGGTTCAGCACTTTGTGAACCTGGAAGTCCAGATTTTGTGGCAAGCGCAGCTCTTTGTGAACCTCCATGTGCAGATGTCGTGGCAGGCGAAGCACTTTGTGAACCTCGAGGTGCAAATTTCGTGGCAGGCACAGCTAACCGATCCAAGAACTGCATAAAAGACTTTAATTGCGCAAGGAAGCAGGAGAATTCCAATCAGTTCAGCTGACAGTCTGGCAGTCTGATGTAAGACATGTTTGATAATGCAGAGAAGGAAAGAAAAGCAAATAGAAGGAACAGGTCTAGATCTCGATGCATGGTTGACTCAACTTTTATGAAAGTAGAATATGGGCAAAAGTCGAAGTCTTTGTAATACAATTGAAAAAGTAGTAGTCCTTGTTGTCCTGGTCTCATCACGGTACTGTAGAGAAAGCGTGACATTGGTGCAAGCATTGGACAGCGATTTGGTCCTGGGAGGGGACCAATCCCGATTGAATATTGAAATTTTCTTTGTGATCAAAGCATCTCTGATGACCAATCCCGGTTGGTCTCAATATTGGTCAATATTGGTCAATAGATATTGGTCACTATTGGTCATTAGATATTGGTCAATATTGATCGTGGAGATCCTGTGGAGTTCCTGTGGAGTTTAGAATCCTGTGGAGTTTCTGTGGAGTTTAGAATCCTGTGGAGATCCTGTGGAGTTCCTGTGGAGATCCTGTGGAGTTTAGAATCCTGTGGAGATCCTGTCGAGTTCCTTTTGACATTGATATTGGTCATGTACACTATGTTGATATTGGTCAATATTGGTCATATAATATAGGTCATTTAATATTGGTCAATATCGCCAATCCTCGATATTGAAAAAAACAATCCTACGATTGGTGTTTTTCAAGTTCAATCCCGATTGGTCAATATTGGTAATATTGAAAACTTTCAATCTCGGATTCACAGGGATACGGTATACGGGGCAGCTGCGGTGGTCCGTCCCGCGCGTCTTGACTTGTTTTGAGAGTTGCTGGGTGTGAACAATTGGCCAGTTGGTTCAGCGTGAGAACATGAGGTTTCTTGCACAGGTGCACTGGGAATGGATTTGACATGGTGCAACTTTGCTGAAAGTGTTTCGGCTGAATGTGTCAACAGCTGCAGCACTATGGGGAACTCATGCTGCGCGAAAGGTGGTTGAGCGTGAGCAGGAATGTGCTCTCAGATGCTCACTCTTTCACTTTCTCACTCAAGTCACACTCACTCTCACTCTCTCCCTCTCCCTCTCCCTCACTCCCTCACTCAGAACTTGCAACGTTTTGATCGAATTGTTGATTTTAAGAACGGGTTCAGGGGCTAGTCAAGGCTGATTTGCCCTTCCAGCCTTCGGCTCATTGTGTTCAGGTGGCCAAGTCGACACCGCCAAGAAGAATGCAGGTACCTTTTGGCGTTCTTTAAAAAAATGTGTTAAAGTATCCCTACCCCCTTGAGCTACTTCCGGGAGGGGGGACCTCAAAAAAGTAAGTTACATTTTAGGGTACCCCCCTAGGGGGTCAAAAAATGTAAGTTACCCCCCCCGAGGCACCATCGAAGCTAGTCAAGGGGGGGGGAGGGGGGGGCAAAAAAAATGTAACTTGTTGCCTGGGACGTGCTTACTTACATTTTTCCAACCCCCCCCCTGGGGGGGTCGGCAGATCGAAGGGGGGGGTCTGGAAAATGTAACTTGGGACCTGGGCCTGAACTTACATTTTTTTTACTCCCCCCCCCTAGGGTGCGTTGGCAGATCGAAGATACGCCAATCACTAAGAAATTATTTGCGGGTGGGAGTCACTTAATGAAATATTTTCTAAATAAGTAATTAACTAAAAAGTATTATTTGGCAACTGTTTGCTGATGCCTCAACACCAAGGAAAACATAGCCTCCAAAAAAGCAGGACCAGGACACAGGCGAAAGGTGAGATTTGCAGACGTCAAAAATTGTAACTTACAATTAGTCCACGCATCCAAACCCTCAGATTTTACAGGGAGTACATGGGTTCTGTGAGAAAGTTTGACCTCACAAATTGTAACTTACATTTTGGCCACATGCCCAACTCCCCAGAATTTACAAGGAACTGGGGTGTCCCCCTGAGGTACTTACATTTTAGCATACTGAAAAGCACACACGTCCGACCACACGAACCGCAAGCAGTGGGCAAGAAACCAGGGGATCAAACGGCGTTGAATATCCTTGTTCTCCTGCCCAATAGAACAGGCAGCCTCTCCTTTATTATTCTCCATTATTGTTTATTGTGTATGGAGTGTGATCGTCTGTTATGTTTGGGTTTCGCTTTGTTGCCTTCCTTTGGGGTCTTCAGTGGGAACATGATTCCTGTTTCTTGGCAGTTTGCTTTGGGTGTGCTTCCTGTTCTTCTTTGTTGATGATGACTCAGACCCACTGCTGTTCCCTCATCTGCTTTGTTTTTGTGTGGCTTGTTGCTGCAGAAGGAGTTGTGTATGGAGTTGTGTATGGAAGACCCCCCCGGCCAAAAAGAATTGTAACAAAACAACATATATTATATATATATCTATTTTTTTGCAGTTCAAAAATGCTAATGATGCAGCCGGCCGCGGGCAGCATCATTCAACTTGATGGCTGACGGCTGACATGTTTCGGCAGGCATTTCCTTGAAATGCCGCATTTGACCATGCGGGACGTGGTCGTGAGCAGAAATTAGTGTGGGGATGGGGGGGTCTAAAATTGTAAGCGCTCCTCTGTGCCTCAAAAATGTAACTTACATTTTTGAGGTCATTCCCCAGGAAATCACCCATGAGGCCTCAAAAATGTAAGTTACCTTTTTTGAGGCCACCTCAAAGTTAATGTAATTACATTTTTTGAGGCCCTGCGCGCAGGAAAATGTAACTTACAATTTTCGACGCCCCCCCTCAGGATAGGGTAGGGATGTTAAAGTCTATTTTCTGCTTTTCCGTCTTTTCGTTTGGGACAGAATTTCTCAGGAACGGATCCAAGAGGAGGGCCTCCGCATGCGAACTGATATTGACCAGGCCCCCGAATCTTGGAACGAGATCGTGGAGATCATTGGTGACCATTATCACAACGCAATTGCAGAGGGCCATGAATGAAGATCCGCGTCGGATGGTATTTTGTTTGCCGGCGCAAAAGGCAGCCGCAGCACCAGGAAGAGCAGGCCCCTGCTGCCGCCCCAGCAGCAGGAAATGGGGCGGCGCAGGTGGGAGGCGGCGATCGCGGAAGGGAGGGGGACTGGACAACACACCTACTAAGCATAAATCTGACGAATGCTGTCAACGCCTGGGAGTAGCCACCAATCACCAGGCCCCCCC